GATCTGAAGTGGATCTCCTGTAGACAGCACATACATGGGTATTTTTTTTTTAATCCATTTAGCCAGTCTATCTCTTTTGGTTGAAACATTTAATATGTTTACATTGGTTGCTATTGATATGTATATCCTTATTGCCATTTTGTTAATTATTTTGGGTTTTTGTTGGTCTCTCCTTTCTTGTTTTGTTCTCTTGTGATTTGATGATTATGTATAGTGTTACATTTGTATTCTTTTTTCTTTTTTGTGTGTATATCAAAGATTTTTGGTTTGTGATTACCATGAGGTTTTGGTATAGCAGTCTCTTTCTCTCTCTCCCTCCCTCCCTCTCTCTCTCTCCACTATATATGTAGTGGTTTTCAGTTGCTGATCTCATAATTTCAAATGCATTTTAAAATATCCTGCATTTATACTGTCTTCCCCTCATGATTACTGGTTTTGATACCATATTTTACACATAATTGTTTTGTGTATCCCTTAACTGCATTTTGTGGATACAGGTGATTTTACTGTTTTTGTCTTTTAACCTCCCTACTAGTTTCTGTGTGGATGATTTCCTACCTTAACTCTATGCTTGCCTTTACTGGTGAGCTTTTTCCATTTTGTAATTCTCTTACTTCCACTTGTGGCCTTTTCTTCTGCCTAGAGAAGTTCCTTTAGCATATATTGTAAAGCTAGTTTGGTGGTGCTGAAATCTTTTAGCTTTTGCTTGCTTGTAAAGCTTTTTACTTCTCCATCAAACCTGAATGAGAGTCCTGCTTTGTAGAGTATTCTTGGTTGTAGGTTTTCCCCTTTCATCACTTTGAATATATCGTGCCACTCCCTTCTGGCTGCAGTTTCTGCTGAAAAATCAGCTGATAGCCTTCTGGAAGTTCCCTTGTGTGTTATTTGTTGCCTTTAACATTTTGTCTTTGTCTTTAATTTTTGTCAGTTTGATTATTATGTGTCTTGGTGTGCTCCTCTTTGGGTTAATCTTGTATAGGACACTCTGCACTTCCTGGACTTGGGTGACTGTTTCCTTTCCCAGGTTAGGGAAGTTTTCCGCTATTATCTTTGCAAATAAATTCTCAGGCCCTTTTTCTCTTCTCCTTCTGGGACCTCTATAATGTGACTGTTAGTGCACCTGATGTTGTCCCAGAGGTCTCTTAAATTGTCCTCATTTCTTTTCATTCTTTTTACTTTTCTGCAGCAGTGATTTACACTACTCTGTCTTCCAGCTCACTGATCTGTTCTTCTGACTCATTTATTCTACTATTGGTTCCTTCTAGTGTATTTTTTATTTAGTTATATATTCTTCAACTTTGGTTGTTCTTTATATTTTCTAACTCTCTTAAAAACTTCTAACTTCTTGCTCTCTGCATCCATTCTTCTCTCGAGTTCTTAAATCATCTTATGATCATTACTCTGAACTCTTTCTCAGGTAGATTGCCTATCTCCATATCACTTAGTTCTTCTTTTGGGATTTTGTCTGGAACATATTCCTCTGCTGCTTCCTTTTGTCTAAATTTCTATTTGTATTTTTATGTATGTGGTAGGTTAGTTATGTTTCTCCATCTTGGAGAAGTGGCTCTCTCTAGGGATGTCCTGTGTGTCCCAGCACACAGGACACACAGAGTATGCTCCTCTCTCATCTCCCAAGGTGCCAGGGTAGGGTATGGCCTGTGTTTGCAGATGTGGTTCCAAAGGCTGCAGGATTATAGTTTTATTGCTTCTGGTGTCTTCCCCTTTGTGAGGCTTGTCTAAGAGGCCTGTGTAGGCTTCCTGGTGGAAGGGGCTGGTGCCTGCCCACTGGTGGATAGAGCTGAGTCCTGCCCCTCTGGTGGGCAGGGCCTTATCTAGGGATATGTTGTAATCAAAACAGTATGGTACTGGCACAACAACAGATATACAGATCAAAGGAGCAGGATAGAAAGCCCAGAAATAAAGCCACACACTTATGGTCAATTAATCTTCAATAAAGGCAACAAAAATATACAATGGAGAAAAGATAGTCTCTTCAGTAAGTAGTGCTGGGAAAAACTGGACAGCTACATGGGAAAGAATGAAATTAGAACATTCTCTAACACCATATACAAAAATAAACTCAAAGTATATTAAAGACCTAAATGTAAGACTGGATACTCTAAAAGCCCTAGAGGAAAACAGGCAGAACACTCTTTGACATAAATCACCCCAATATTTTTTTAGATCCATTTCATAGAGTAATGGAAATAAAACCAAAAATAAATAAATGAGACCTCATTAAACTCATAAGCTTTTGCACAGCAAAGGAAACCATAAACAAATGAAAAGATAACCTATGGAATGGGAGAAAGTATCTGCAAACAGTGCAACCAATAAGGGATTAATTTCTGAAATATACAAATAGCTAATACAGCTTAATGTAAAAAACAAACAACAATTAAACAAAATGAGTGAAATATCTAAAGAGATACTTTTCCAAAGAAGACATACAAAGAAGATGGCCAAAAGGTATATCAAAAGATGTTAAACATTGCCACTTATTAGAAAAATGCAAATCAAAACTACAATGAGGTATCACCTCACACCAGTCAGAATGATCATCATCAAAAAATCTACAGATAATAAGTGCTGGAGAAGGTGTGGAGAAAAAGGAACCCTCGTACACTGTTGGTGGGATTGTAAATTGGTGCATACATTGTGGAGAACAATATGGAAGTTCCTTAAAAAAAGAAAAACAGAGTTACTGTTTGATCCAGTAATCCCACTCCTAGGCATAATATACAGAGAAATCTCTAATTGGAAAAGATAAATGCACCCCAATGTTCATAGCCAAGACATGCAAGCAGCCTAAATGTCCAACAGATGATTGGGTAAAGAAGCATTTATACACACACACACACACACACACACACACACACATACATACATACATATATATACATACATACACACACATATATAAAAGCATTTATATATATTTTTATATATATACAAATTTATTCAGGCATAAAAAATGAAATAATGCCTTTTGCAGTAACATAGATGGACCTAGAGAATATCACACTAAGTGAAGTAAGTCAGACAGATAATGGTAAGTATTGTATGATAAAACTTATTTGTGGGATTTAAAAAATAATACAAATGAATATATATACAAAACAGAAATAGACTCATAGACACAGAAACTTATGGTTACCAAATGGGAAAGGGAGATAGGTGGAGGGATAATTTAGGAGGATGGGAATAACAGATACACACTACTACATATAAAATAGATAAACAACAAGGACCTACTGTATAGCACAGGGAACTACATTCAGTATCTTGTAATACCCTATAATGGAAAGGAATATGAAAAAATATATATAGATGACTGAATCACTTTGCTGTACACCTGACGCTAATACAACATTGTAAATCAACTATACTTCAATTAAAAAAAACCTATGAGTGTATTCAGAAATGCTGGGCAGAACAGATGATCACTTGTCAGTCTGCTTGTTTTGTGATTCACTGTTCAAAGAATCAAATTAGTTTGTCCTTTTTAGTGTCATCCTATTAAAATATTCTTTTATGTTTTTCTTTTAAGCTTTTCATAGATGTTTAATACACCTGAAATTTACTTGTATGAGAGGTACATGCACTCACATCTGCACACACATGCATTTTTGGAACTCTGTGCTCTTCCACTTGTTTATGTGTCTGTGCCTGGACCAACACCATACTCTCTTAGTGACTGTAGTTTTAAAATAAGACTTTATATCTGTTAAGTCAAATCCCACAACTGTCTTTTTCTTTCTTAAAATGGCCTTAGTGATTCATGATTACTCTTCTTTATACATTTTTGGATCAGCTTGTCAAGTTCCATAAATAAGCCTTTTGGAGATTTTATGGGAATTATATAAAATAAATAAATTGGGGAGATTTAACATATTACTGGAATTAACATATTTATACTCTCTCCATTTACTAGAGGGTATTACTAGGGTTTTCTTTTATGTCTTTCAGTAATGTTTTGTAATTTTTTCCATGAAATCTTGTCCCATTTTTGCCTAGCTTAATTCCTAGATACTTAGAGAGTTTTTTGTTTGTTGGCTTTTTTGGTTGTTGTTATTGTGGAGAGTGAATTATATTGTTGGCTTATAGAACTTTATTGATTTTGATATGGTTCATCCTGTATAAATCTTATGAAATTCTTAGTTGTTCAGAATGTATATAGTCCCTTAGATTTCTGCTGGAACATTCAAATTCTGCACCCATCTCAAAAATTTTGTTTCTTCTTTTGCAGGTTTCAGACTAGTTTTTCCTTTTTGGTGTTTACTGCTTTTGCCAGTATAATACTGCATGAGAGGGTGAAGGGGGGCATCCTTTTCTTGGTCCTGACCAAACAAGAGTACTTCTCCAGTGTTGACATTTAATTTTGGTAGATGTGTTTTATCAGATTAAGGAAGTTCTCTTCTATTCCTAACTTTTCATAAATGGTTTATTTTAAAATTAAAGAATAAATACAGAACAGGTTTTCTTCTCCAGAATTTAAAGCAGAATTAAAACAAAAAAAACTCTGTCTCTCTCTCTCTCTGTTGTCCAGCTTTGATACCTGGAATTCATTGTTTCTTTCCTTTTATCTCCAAAGGTAACAGAGTAGTTAACTCTGTTATGAGGGATACTGAGATAATACTGCTGTGTCTGTAGCACCCAAAATAGGACCTGGGACTTAGGAAACAACAGTTGCTATTGAATGAATTTTGAATTACTTTTTTCTGATTTCCAACTTAAATTCTTAAAAAAAACAAACCACTCTTTTCCTCTTTTTTGTATCCTATTCCTTGTGTATCACCTGTGATGGCCCCTTCCCATTTTCCCTTTTTATAACGAAGCTTTCTCTAAGTTCATGTTTATTAGTGTTTTCCTTTTTTCTCCCTCTTCATTTTTAGTATCATGGGTAAAATCTAAGAAAGTCTGTTTCTAAGTGTATTTTGATGATTTTTTAATTTTCATTTTTTAAACTTTTCCATTTTTTTTCCCTCTCTTTAACATAGCACAACCTCGGCGCTTGCCTCAGCTTCAAACCACAGCACAGGAAAGTGAGGAGGAAACAGGCAAGATAAAGAACGGCCACCCGAGTCTGAGCAATGGAAATGGAATCCACCACGGGGCCAAACTGGTATCTGCAGAGAACCGAAGACTTTCAGCGCCTGTGTCCCAAAAAATGCATAGAAAAATCCAGTCCAGCTTGTCTGTAAACAGTGACGTCAGTAAGAAGACTAAAGTAAATGCTGTCTTCTCCCAAAAGACAGGCTCTTCACCTGAAGGTAAGTCTGAGATATATGCGTATTTTACTTGACGAGATGTAAAATCATATTCACTAATAATTATTTGATCAAGCAAACATAAATGAAGAATCTTGCTTATTAGCCTTCAAACAGGAATTTTGGTAAAATGCAGCTTCCCCCAAGGAAGGCACAGGCTAGGCACGGAAGCATTGGCAACTGACATCCTGCTTTCAGATTGTCTTCTAGAGTGAATAGTCATGACTTTCAGTATAACTGCTATCTTTCTTTAATACCACATTTAAAAATGTGAATACAACATTTTGGTGGCATGTGTGAATGTAAGTATTTTTTTCTGTTGCTGATTCAGTATGTTCTTCTATGGTTCAGAGTACCCACTTGTATTTTTGTCTTGCAAATTAGTTCTTAAATATGCAGAACTAAAGCAAAGACTTGGTAATCTTCATGCTCTTTCCTGGGAGTGGGCTAGGTGATTTCTGTTGCTTGACTGACCAGCACCTTCCAGCTGCCAGTGATGCCATGGATCGCCCCCTCCCCTAGCCCCTCCTCGTTCCAAGCTCATGGTGGTCTGGCCTTTAGCGCCTCGCCTAGGGGCACTTGACCGTGTTCTCTGACCTCTCAGGAACTAGCGGTTACCTCCTTAGTTAAGTACTATAAACTTGGAAAAGGTTTTCTTTATTGTAACACAATCCCTTCTAATGACATTGGGTTTATAACCTACAGACTACTTTTATAAAAATGGCTTGCTGTGTTCCATTAAAAAAAAAAAAGAGAGAGAATAGCTTTCCCTCATGTTAAGGTCCCAAATTTCTCTCAGTGTATGCAGGGTCCTCTGTTCTTCCTTTGCCCCTCCTTTTAGCAGGACTTGGGCATCAACTACTCAAAACTGTTTTATATATTTTCTGGTTCAGATATTGTGTGTGTGTGTGTGTGTGTGTGTGTGTACATATATACACACAAATATAAAATATTTTTCTTATTCCCTTACCTTTCTATTTTAATTACCATGAAATCTTAAATAAGGGGAATTCTGGGGATGCTTCTGTGAAGTTGGCCGTGCTTATTTCCTAGAGATAAATTGAGTTGTAAATAGGAAATTGTATTGAGAGTTACCAGTAATGAGTGGGAGAAAGGATATTACATTTTGGCTACAGGTGTCTCAAACTCAACTGAGGTAGATGGTTAGGTTGATCAAATGATATGATAATAAATGGTCTGCATAGTTCCAGGTCAGTGACACTACTTTCCAAACTAATTAGATGGAAAGGGACATGATTGACACTTGAAAATGAGTTTGACATGTAAGCTGCATGGTCATCTCTGAAGCATAGGTAGGCTGTTAACTAAACTGGCTCTCCGAGGAGTTGGGAAGGCAATGCAATTTTCTTTAGAGGATCTTTGCTTCTAGGTGATTGGGTGAAATAATTGAATGCAATTGAAATCTACTTGTTTTATACATTTGACTTTTCTTATTATGTCACTAACTTCTAATTTTCTGTTTGATATTTACATATTTTAAAGAATCATAACATCTGCATATCAATCCAACTTGAAATAGCTTATGGAATTTTTTATAAAATTTTTAATTCAACATATTTTAAATACCATGTCTGAATTTATTTCTAGTGGTAGGTTCCTTTTATTGTGGTTGCTTGAATCTGGATGAAAATTCCATTGTCCTAGGTCATATTTTCTCAAAATTAGATGTCTTGATGCTTTTTGCTACTGTTTAAGGTTGTGCCCTCAAACATTGTTTCTTCTGACTGTTGGTTTTGAAGTTAAGTTTATTCTCTGGCAATGTGCTGTCATTAAACAAACAATAAACAAAAAAGCACAGAGCTGGTAGTTGGCAGATGCAAAGGGAAAGGATCTCAGCTCTGCTACCAGCCAGCTGGGAGACTAGGGTTTCTCTGGGGCTGCTCTTTTCTAGGAAATGCTCTGGATTAGAAATCTTCAAGATTCGGTTTGGTTCCAAGATTCTGTGGGGTCTCTTGCTCTACAGACTCTGTGAGTCTTGGGTGAGGAGAAACGGAACACCTGCTGAGTAGAACAGGGACAATGGCAGAAATGGTTTTGACAGACAGGTATCATCTGGATTGCAGGAGGCCTGCGTGTCCAAACAGGCTTGATTTGTGATGCTATTAAAAATGGATAGAAATTATTTTTTATAAAACAGTAACAATGGGGAGATTTAGTTAGCAGACTTTTTGCAGTTATATGGAGTTTTTTGTTACACATTTTTCTGAAATCTTCATTGTTTAGGCCTGTTCTTATATAGCAGCATTGGCAAATGAGGAGCAAAGTAATATTCGCTAAAAACCTCGACAACAGCCACCCATCCCCAGTTTGGTAACGTGTGTTTGTTTTCTAGATAATTGGTGCTTTTGGTTATGATTTTTGTATTATTGCACATAATACTGACGACTAGAAGGGCATTTTTCTGCTTCAGATGATAGAATTAAACATGTGACTGTTTAATAGTATTCCATTAAAGGCACTACAGGCTGTTTTGCTGACCAGTTTTGGAAAACACAGCTGAGATGTGTGTCCGGTGCTTATACAGAGGTAGGCGTGGACCCAGTCATAGAACTGAGTCAGCAGGTTAGTGACATTTCTTCATATGTCTTTAACTGTGGGTTATTTAGAACCTGAGTACCAATGGCCATGTGTTCGATCAGATTCTCTTAAGCTCTGTTGATTCGGAGAGTTAGTTATGTAGATTCAGTCTGTGGACCCGGTACCGTTCTACCTGCTTCACTCACATGAACTCATTTAACCCCCACAACAGCACTGTGATTGTATAAACTATATGTAATTAGATAATTATAAATGAGAACACTGAGGCCCAGAGAGGGTCAGGGAACCCACCAAAGTCAGTTGGTCCATGAGGGATCTCCTTAGTTAGTGTATGTTTGCCTTCTTTAAGCTCTTCCTACCAAAAATTTAAAAAAATTCCCATACCTGTATTCTGTGTTTATTTCCTTTCCCTTCCCTACTGGGCCATAGATTCCTGAAGAGGCTACACTGGGGCTGAGTCTTTTTTTTTTTTTTTAATTTACAGTAGTGCCCAGCACAATAGCTTCACAGAGTTTCCCATGAGTTAATAAGTGATTACAATGTTTTATTTCAAACTACTTCCTTGAAACTAGCACTGGCAAATAAAATGTTTGTTCATATTCATTAAAAAAAGTTCTTTAAAAAATTCCTTTTATGCAACAGAGGAGAAGATAGCCATGTTGGAAAATATTATACATTTTATTTAAAGATTAATCAATTAATAAATTTCTACTTATTTTGTATAATTAGATACTTTTATGTATACTTCAATTTTCTGATTGTATCACCCAGGTGGAGAGTTTTAGGACTAAATGTTTAAGATTCTTGACCTTTGAAATAATTACAGTATAGTTTAGTATCATAATATTCAAATTGCCAAGGGTTTTCAGTAGACTCTGAGACACACTTCTTATCCTAGGAATAGTAAACCCTAGCAGATCTTAGGTGCGCCAGTTGTAGTTATGCTTTTGTAAAAACTGTTTCAAAAAAGACATTTTTGGAAGAGATTTTTTACATTTTTAGGAATATTTGATAGTTGACATTTCATATGGATATATATGCTTAG